AATCTGTCTGGCAGTTTTAAATCTATTCGGGTTCCAACAGATTTGAAAATTATTTGGACTATTTTACTTGTTTGGAATAATTGGACTAGAAGAGGTAATATTGGACAGAAAAATTAAATTCAAATTCGGCACAAAATTTGAATTAATTTCATTAAGAATTTCTGGAAAAAATTCAAAATAAATTTTGTCCAAAAAATTAATATTAGAACCGACTCGACCCAAAACCTACATCCGCGCCCGGCGGCGGCGCGCGCGTGTTTGATGGTTTGGGCTAAGGTTCCATTTGTCCATAACTCCTATCTTCTACAAACTTGGGGTACCCCTTAGGGCCCAACCCAAGTGTTGCCACCTAGAACTTATATAAACACATAACTTCTCTTAAGTTTTCAATATGGGATAACCATTTCAAGGAAACCCACATTTTATTTCATTAAATGTCCATTCCACGAATCTGAAAACGACGTCAAGTTCACATTCACTCATAAATAGTTTTGACGAACTGTCTTCACCGTGTGACTTGCCACGCGATAAGGAGCACGCCACCTCTTCGGACCCACTCCAAAAGACATTTGGGACCCACTCTATTTTGGGTTCAAAGTTGGTCCAAAATAAGCTTATAAAACCAAATTTTCCAACATTTACTTTATGTAATTTTAGCTTGGTTTTGAGAGTGGATTATGACTTAGAGCTCATTTAGGAACATCATTTAGGGAAATTATAGAATGTTCTTAGCGTATCACGTGTTCGTGCTCCTTAAACAATTATCATTTAATATGTCCCTTCATATTCCCCAATCATCCAATACAATACTCCACCTACCCACTTTCTCCATCAACCACAATCTCATGGAATACCCCGTGTCTATACTTCGAAATTACTGAATAAGTAACCCATGATTTATAAGCTGTTCATTGGCTTAGCTACTTTTTTGCCCATCTTTTAGTAATAAGTAAAAGGGCAAATTACACTAATAGTCCCTATAGTTTGGGACTCATATCACTTTGATCCCTGACTTTTCAATTGTAACACATTTGACCCTGAATTTTGAATATTGTTCCAAATAAGGACAATTGAAGATACCATTGTTTAATTTCAGGGGTAAAATTGTCAATTTGATAAAATATAAACTAATTTGACAAAAATAAATGTCAAAAAAATATTTTTAAAATTATTTCTACACTCCAAAGAAAAAATTATGTAAAATTGATAAATCTTTTAGACATTTATTTATTTATTTATTTATTTTACCAAATTAATTTTTATTATATGTTTAGATGATGATTATGTAATGAGTAGTTGTTAAACTTTTAATGTGTAATCGATACATTTAATATATGAAATATTTTTAGTTTTGTATTTTTTTTATTTAATAGATTGGTTTAATAATGATATCAAAGTTGTTGCCATATTTGACTTTTGAAAAAATAGAAACTAATTTAATGAAAACAAAAACAACCACCCATTACATGATTATCATCCAAGCACATAATAAAAATTAATTTGGTAAAATAAATAAATGTCTAAAAGATTTATCAATTTTACATAATTTTATCTTTCGTGAGTAGAAATAATTTTTAAAAAATCCAAAATATTTTTTTGACATTTTTTTTTTTTTTCAAATTAGTTATAATTTATTAAATTGATGGTTTTGCCCTGCAAAATCAAATAGTATCTTCAATTGTCCTTATTTAGAACAAGATTCAAAATTCGGGATCAAATGTGTCACAATTGAAAAGGCAGAGACCAAAATGATACAAGTCCCAAACTATAAGGACTATTAGCGTAATTCACCCTAAGTAAAAAAGCAAGCTTATAAGTCATTCGCCAAACAATGCATATTATAAATTAGATTGTTAGCCTTTGAGGCTAGTTTGTCATTGTCTGAGCAATAAAAATTCGGATACAACTTTTTTTCAAGGGTGATGATTTAAATAAATACACTTATTTGAATTATATTATTTATCTATTTTTTTAAACATCTTTTTTATAAAAAATTAAAAAATACATTAATTAAACAAACTTCACAGTGAATCTTGTTTTTCATGTATTTTTTCGTTCATTCTATACTCTTTCTTTCTTCCCCCTATCAAAATTTAATCCATAATTTTTGTTTAGGTTTGGACATCAAAATTCAAATTTTATTTATGGCATATTTTAATTCTTTTTGAGTTTTGTTTTAAAGTTAAAATTTTAAAAAAATATAATCATAAAATCTAATTTATAAATAAGTGATGCGGAACAAGATTATAGTCTCTTTAAAAAATCACTCAATGGATATATGGACCATAATCTCTTCAAAACGTAATTTTTCTTTAAGATTATGTTTGTGGCATGTATTTAGGTAGGGATCTAGAAAAAAAATAAAAATAAAAAAAAAATAATGTGAATGAATTATATTTCATATATTTTTCTAAATTTATGATTTAATTATAATCGAAAAATAATGTATATCAAAAAGTACTATGATACATATACACCTATTTAAAAAAAAAAGTATAGTTTCAATAATTTGGGGGCTTGAGAGAACTCCAGGCTCTCATAGCAATGCTAGGTATCATGAAAAGTCTTTTATGAAAATGATCATGAAAGATTTGTGACCTTTGGATTACACTTACAATAAAACACCACACAGTAATCAAGATAATCTAAGGGTCACAAATTTTTCATGATCATTTTCATGAAAAATTTTTCATGATCCCTAACATTTCTCCATCAAATGTAAAGTGATTTAAGACATCAAATAAAAATATGTTTTAATTAGTACATGGATTAATGATATTCTTTCTAGGGTTAGATTAGAGCACCACTCAATTATTTTCCCTTAATAATAATTCACAACAAGTAAAATCTTGGACGAATTACACTAAGGCCTCGTTTGGCAAGAGGCTATTTTAGCCAATTAGTCAAAAAGTTACTAAATTAGCCAAAAAAACCAACAACCCATACCAAAAAGTCAAAGATTCTTTTTTCTTTCTACTTTTTACACATCTTTTCGCAATTAGTCAAAAAGTCATCCCAAACATACAAGTTTTTTTTACCTACCTTTTTAGCCAGATAGCCAAAAAGTTACTAAATTAGCCTGTTCCCAAACGAGGCCTAATAGTCCCTATAATTTGGGACTCATGTCACTTTGATCCTTAACTTTTCAATTGTGACACATTTGATCCTAAATTTTAAATCTTGTTTCAAATAAAGACAATTGAAGATACTATTATTTAATTTCAAAAATAAAATCGTCAATTTGATAAAATATAAACTAATTTGACAGAAAAAAAAAATGTCAAAAAAATATTTTTAAATTTTTAAAAATTATTTCTACACTCCAAAGATAAAATTATCAAAAATTGATAAATCTTTTAAACATTTATTTATTGAATCTTTTAAACAAGAATACACCCACATCCCTCAAGGAAAGAAGAAACAATCCGAAATATTGAAAAAGGAAATGCAAATCAGCATTAAAAAATATAACTATGAGAATCAGAAATGTTAGGTTATATTAACTGAAAAGCATGTATACCAAAACATATTATGATTCAAAATACTAACACCAAATATTTAGAGAAACTTATTGATTAAAAATAAAATTTGGAAATGATTCCGACATGTTTTTCTTGATTTTCATCTCCATTCCCAAAATGAGTTTCTGGGAAAACAAATTTCCCACTTAAGTATAGTTTCCTGGTAACTCTGCGCTCAAGTGACTACCCAGTTTGCAATGCAGCCTAGTAAAACTACCCACAAGGAAGGTGACCGTGCATTTGTCAAAGCATTGGTTATGGAAGAAGAACTTATCAAATAACATAACGGTTTTCCATCATGTACACATTCCGCCCTTAAAGCACCTGGAATGCCACCAAAGCCTCCAGCATCCAATGCTTCCTAGTTCTAACAGTGTAACTAAATTACTCAAAGCATTCAGTGTCAGTTAGAATGATAATTCAAAACAATCACAGAGTAAGACCAATGTCAACATATCAATCTAAACGTCTTACTGATTAGCCCAAATAACTCAGACAACTATAGTTCCTGTCAGTCTTTTTCCAGCTTCCATTTGGTTTCCTAGTTCATGCACTAACTTCAGCGATTTGGAACAAATCTACGCAAAAGCCTTTTCTCTTAATAGATGGCTTGATGGAAAACCCTGATCATTTTGACGGAGTTCAAGTGGGTTTCCTAGATCTGCAACATCCTTGTGCAGCACCATTTAATATTTTTGTTTTTTTTGGTAAGTACAACACCATTCCAAAACTAGTTATAGCTTCACATTCAACCAAGCTACATGTTTTACAGGAAAAAAGTGAGAGAAACACAACCTCCAGAGACCAATGCTTAACGTACAATAACAGCGGACCTATCAATTGACCCTCCAGAAACTTGAATCAGAACAAATCAACAATCAAATTCATTACCCGCCCACTCTCACTCTCTATCCTGCTGTACATAACCTTCCTGCTAGATTACTACTAGCCAATCAATGAAAACAAGTCTCCTCTCCCAAGCATTTTTTGTTTTACTATTCTGGATATTATGAACATATTGCCGCATTTCTTTCACATAAATAACATCATCCACTGGATCACTTCTTATTTTACAGATGCAACAAATAATTCAAATCTATATAGACCAAAAGATCATTGTTGTCGCTACTAATAACCAACACGACCAAATATGCTTATTATCAATGTCTCAAATTTTTCATTGTCATATAGGAAAAAAAATATCCAACAATATGTCTATACTAAAGCCACAAACTTCACCTAAAGAAATGGCCAAGACCCATTCATTCAACTCAAAGACAACAAAACTGGGCTTCCCAACTCCTCTAGAATCTAGACTAGCAGCAACAGGAAAACTTGACAGAACCCTATAATTCAAAAAATGTATTGAATTCCAACCCACACAACTTACAGATCATATTCATACAGATGAAACATAGTTCCCAAGATGAAACGCATATAAATAGTTCCCAAGCTCACAATTTTAACATCAACCAGCAATTAAGCCAAAAAACGCTAATATAAAGATATCATCATAGTTCTAAAATTGGGTTCATTTAAGCAAAATTCATCCCATGTTCAACATCCAAAGCAATCAAAATTCTGTCTTTAATATTCAAAACAAAGATGTAAACATCATAACTAGAGAGAGAGAGAGAGAGAGAGATCAAATCTTAATCCCCACCAGCCTTCTGATAAACATAAGTCAACCCACACTTGCCACAATAGTGACGATCAAAATGATTCGCCATGAAAGTCCCAGCACCACACTCAGCATTCGGACACTCCTTCCTCAACCTCTGAACCTTCCCAGAATCATCCACCTTGTAGAACTGAAGCACAGCGAGCTTCACCTTCTTCTTCTTGTGCTTGATCTTCTTGGGCTTCGTGTATGTCTTCTTCTTCCTCTTCTTCGCTCCTCCACGCAATCGGAGAACCAAGTGAAGCGTGGATTCCTTCTGGATGTTGTAGTCGGCTAGGGTTCGGCCGTCTTCGAGCTGTTTTCCGGCGAAGATGAGTCGTTGTTGGTCCGGTGGAATGCCCTCCTTGTCCTGGATCTTGGCCTTCACATTGTCGATGGTGTCGGAGGACTCGACCTCTAGGGTTATGGTCTTCCCTGTTAGGGTTTTCACGAAGATCTGCATTGTTGTTGTTGTTGGTCGCCGATTTCGAAATGCAGGGGAGAGAAAGAGAGGAATTTATATGGGGGGTTTGGGCTAGGGTTAGGGTTAGGGTTAGGGTTTGGGTGGAGGTTGTGCGACTCTACGAGGGTTGATGTTGGTGCAGATGAGGAGCCATTTGATTATGGTGGCTCTCGGTCCGATGGTCTGTCTAGTTAGGATCGATTTGAAAACTTAGACAATCCCTAATTGTTGTTATAATATTTTTGTTATTATTATATTTGGATAATGAATAGTATTATTTTGTCAAATTATAATAATAGTTCTTCAATTGTTACTTATTATTTTGACAAATCTCAACTAACTTTCCTCCTAAATTTGTAAGTATTGTTTCGATATAGATTTTTTAGTATTTTTTTTTAGTTTATTTTTTACCTTTTGTGACCTATTTTTAACTGTTTCTAAAAAATATATATATTTATTTTATTCTCGACTAAACAAATATAAAAAATGACAAAAAAAATTGAACAATTGGAAAAAAAAAATTTAAATATAATTCACTCACCAAAAAACATATCACTACAAAAATAAAAATAAAAAAAATAAAACAATTAACTACATATAAACAAATAAACAATATAGCTGTTGTTATTTTGTTTGTACTTTTTTTTTTTTTTAATAAACAAACAAAACACAATGGCTCTTTTCACATCCAAGAATGATCACCACCGTACAAACCAACGGTTGAGATGATTTATCTAGAATCATCCAACCCATTATCTTCACATTCATTCACTGTCTTCACTCTCTCTCTCACTTTGGCCGTCACTCTCCTCCTGTCTCCACAAGAACCCCCTTGTTTCTTAGCTTCTTCATCATTCTCTTTAGATCAATGAAGATCAGAGAGAGAGAGAGGGTTTCAGATTGATGAGCTTCGGATCGATGAGAAATTGATGTTTCTTTTCATCTTCTCTCATCCACTCCCTTCTTTCTCTCACTCACTCACTCACTGATTCTCTTTCTCTCATCCAAAGTTCTCTCTCTTTCTCTCTTCAGAACCACCACCAAATCATCCACCTATCCCTATCCCTCGAAGCCCTACTTGGCTTTTAAATGGAGAAGATGAATATTGGAGATTTGTATAAATTCAGCTTTCAAATCCAGGTATTTTTCTTCTAAAATTCATTTAAGATTATTTGAGAAATTCTTGTTAGTATTTTTGTTGAGATTGTTCATTTGAAAATGTTTATTGATATTCATGTTGATTATTTGAAGATGATATTGCTGAAGATGATTAATTTGGTATTGTTGGAATTTGGTGATTTTTGTATTGGCAAAATTTGTCTGGGAAAGGCACAAATAGGTGAATTTTGTGATTTTTTTTTTTAGACACACCTTGAAGTAATTGGTGAATTTTGTTTTAAACAAAATGGTGAATTTCGCTTTTAAAAAAATATATATATATTCAAACATTCTGGAAAAGTCTCAACTGAAGGGAAAGGAGGGAAGGAAGAAAGCAGTTGGTTTTTGGGTGATTTGGCAAATTTGGCAGCTGCCAAAGTAGTTGTCAAATTTGGCACATGATTTGCTAGCTGTTATCGCATGTCATTGGAGAAGCCATTTTTGCCTAAGCTACTATATTATGGCTTTGGCAGCTGTTTTAGCAATCCATTTGAGATGCTCTTAGGGCATCCACAATGGGATGGCTAAAAAATTGTATTAAGGTGTGTGTTATATGACAAAAAGTAATAGAAGTGAGGCCCAAAAATGTTTGTTAAGATGTGTTAAGAGTTTGTTAATTTTAGAGAGTGAGTGGTGGTGCAATGAATGTGTTAAGGTGTGTGTTAAATATATATATATATGTGTGTGTGTGTGTGTGTGCGCGCGCGCGCATAATAAATAAAGTAAATAAATAATTTAGTTTGATCAAAAATTTCAAACCCAAAATTAAATTTTAAATCCAAAAAAAAATCCCAACAAGTAAAAAAAAAAAAATTGTCGTTGATCGGTCAACCGGCCGGACGTCCGGCCGGTCAACCAGTTAGACCAAAAACACGCCCCCTTGGCTAGCTAAAACCATCGCTGCAGATAACAAACAAGTTAACACACACCACTAACACACACGTTAACCCATCCACTGCAGTACCAAACAATATCCTCAGCTAGCCAAAAGTTGGCACCTAACACTAACACATAACTTAGTGTGTCCATTGTGGATGCTCTTAGGGGTGGTTTGGGATGTTCTAAATAAATATACTTTTTAACTTTTTATAAATAAAAAAAATATGTGTAGCAAAGTAGAGAAAGTTGATAGAAAAGTAGAGAGGAGATGTTGATTGATGTGACCCAAATAAGTATATATATGCAACAAAAAAAAAAAATTTTTTAGTAGATGCCAAACACCTACTTAATATCATTTTTTTTGGTTTGGTTTTTTTGGATTTATTTTTTTATTTTTATTAAATTTTTTTAATATTTTAAATAAAATTTTTTAATTTTTAGATAATGAGAGGGTGATTTATGATCTGGAGTTGGGCCGAGATATCGACCCAACAGGTTGAGAGCCCAGCAGTGCATTGGGCCGAGATGATCCACTGTTCGCCCAGAGAAGGGCTGCCAAAACTTGGGCCGGGCAGAGTTTGGACCGAGTGTGTGCCACCCCGGACCGTACAGAAATTGCTCGGCCAGGAAGTGACCGGTCAGACTAGGATGCTCGGTCGGAGGATGGTCGAAGCCAGACAGGCTGAGAGACCGGCGCCCGGAAAGGCGCGGTCAGCCGAGATAGTTGATTGACCGGCAGGAAGGCCAACCAAAGGAGGTGCCCGGGCTAGGCTTTGCCGAGATGCCGCCTAGCCCGGTTATCCACGTGTTTGTCCGGCCAGGCGCATGAGTATGAAGCATGACATGGCCGAGGAAGAGCAGCTCGGCTGCCGAGCTCCAGCTGCGAAGTCAGGCAGTTGAGGTTAGGTGGTGAATGGCATGGTTTATGCTGACAGATGGGATAGCAGAGCCACGTGTCAGGAGACGACTGGGAGTGGATATGGGGGTCAGAAGGTATATAAGCATGTCTGCGCCCCCCATACGAGGACACGAACACATCTGTAAGGATTTCTTACACTCAAACACTCTCTCCCTTCTCTCTATCCATCCTAAGGTGTGTGCTAACTTGACCGTCGGAGGGTTTTTTCGGCCACACACCGCCGGGTAGCTCACCATTACTTGCTCGCAGGTGATCGGACATCGACGGAGCTCGGAAGAAAGGAATACGGGCACGCTGAAATATTTGCTCCCCGTACAGATAATATCTAATATAAATACATGTAAAAGTATTATATTTGTGAAAAAATCTTTAAATAATTCACTAAATACAAAAAACAAAAATAAAAAAAATTTTGAGAATTCAATATATTTTTTGTATTATTGTATATTTATTGATTTCTCAAAATATTTTATTTTTTAGATACATCTAAGTAAGGTGTATCTAAAAAAGTAAAAAAGTTGTTTAAAAATTTAAAAATATTCACTAAAAGGAAAAAAAATACGAAAAATAAAAATTTAATTTCCAAAATATTGAATTCAGAAAATTAAAACCAAACACAGCGAATAATTTTAGTTGATTTTTTAATTATTTTATGAGATAAAAAAAAAGTTATGCTTGCAATAATTTAGCTATTTTAATTGTAATTGAATAGATGATTTGTGAGAGAAAAAGTGATTGATTAATAGGTAGACTGTAACATTTTGTCTTATTAACTATATAAATTTTAATTTCTTTATCTTTATTAATTATTTTAGTCCCAAAAAAAACAAAAACAAAAGTAACATCCTAAACAAAGCTATATTTTTAGAGTTTGGAAAATGCTTAGAGATTTCAAAAGTTTTATTAAAATTTTACCAAATGTCTCATATGAGTGTGAGACCCACATGCTATGCGTCTACACCTATATGAGACATTTGGTAAAAAATTTAATAAAACTTTTAGGATCACTAACATTATTCAAATTATTTTGTCTTAGTTGAAATTTTATACCCATTTAATATTTGGATTGAGTTTGAGATAAATATTTCTAGTTCAGTCGAGCCCGACCTGTTTCATTTATAAAATATTAATTATAGTTTTATATTATTTAAGTTATAAAAAAAAATCAAAAAAATACCCATTTAATATTTGGATTGAGTTTGAGATAAATATTTCTAGTTCAGTCGAGCCCGACCTGTTTCATTTATAAAATATTAATTATAGTTTTATATTATTTAAGTTATAAAAAAAATCAAAAAAATTATAAAAGACAAAATATTTTTTTCTTTTAAACTTTAAATTAAAATATTTGTTAAAAATTATATTTATTTTACCATTAAATTTTGTTAATGTTTCAAGTTCAAATAATAAATAAAATTTTTAAAATAATTTAATATTCATTCCAAATGAATATAAAAAATAATACTTCATATTTATTGGGTTAATTTGGTGGGCTTTGTGTTTAATTTTTTTTTAAAACCTCTCTTAAGATGGTTAGGTTAGGCCAGATTTCGGACTGAGTCAAGTTTGGGATGACACATATCCTCTTATTATATATATAGTGTAAGCTTAACCCAAATTCAACCCAATCCGAAGTTTGTCCACCATGCGTTTGACTCGAGCAATTTCACACACTATTTTCCATTTTAAAATTTTAAAATACATAAATATAAAAAATAAAAACAAAAACAAAAACAAAAATAAAAATAAAAATAAAAAAACTCGCTTTTTATTTTAAAGTATTTTGCCAAAAGGTGCCTCAATCTCAAATGTTTTAATTGTTTTAATTTTTATTTTTTATTTTTGCACAAATGACAAATCAAAAAAAAAAAATTCATTCATGAAGAACATATTCATTCAAAAAAAATAAAATGAAATTTCACTAATATGATAACCCAACCCGTACTATACTTAATTATGCATGTGATTATGTATTTGATATGAATTTGTAAGTTTAAGTATGAGAAATATGTAAATTTGAAAAAATATCGGTTGAAAGTAGGAATATATGTTGCAATTTAAATTTTGAACTGAAATTGAAGGCCTTAGAGGTACGATAAACAAAGACCGACTTCATATCTATGATTAACATGATTTATAGAGCTTACGGTGAAGTTTTGA